GGTGGGGATTCTAGAAGTGTGTCCCTGGTCCCCTAATTTTCATTATGACACTAAGAGGTTATTTGCTCTTTCATTGAAGATGCAGAAACAATGACTGTAAAACTGCAGTGCAAATCAAGACAGCAGTACCCAATTCTACCAGTCACACTTCACCACCAAGAACTCACAGTAGAAGCCAAAAAGAAGAAAAATGCCAGTGTCACTTAAGAATGCCTTTGATGAAGAGGTAAAAAAGATCAATTTTATTTTAAACCTTTAAGCACACTTCATATTAATATTTTGTGTGAAGTTTGAATGTGGCACTTTAGCACACCTAGGTATAAAGGTTTTCTTGAGGAAAAGAACCACATGATTGTTCCAGTTACTAATTTTTTTTGTTGTTGGACACCATTTTTACACCTTCTGAAAGACTGACAGAAAAATTATGGTTTTCAGACTTGAGTATCTGGCAGACACTTTCTTAAAAGTAAACAAAGTAAGCCTGTTACTTCAAAGAAAACAATTGGCAGCATTTATTGCCAATGATAAAATCCAAGCTTTCAAGTCTGGAATTCATTACTATTATTAAATTATTTAATGTTCTAACATCTTATTTGAAAAGTCAGGAAGATAATACTATAAAGGTTAGGAAGATAATATTATAAAACATTTTATGCAATGCCTCATCTATAAATGCTCTATAAACATTGACTTTTATTAGAGCTATATTAAGTTAAAGCAATCAAATTGGTTTTTCATTTTTGATTTAACTAAATATGTGAGTAAACTTCATTGAAATGGTTCAACCTGAGCCCCAAGTAGATACTCTTTAAAAAAATAAATGAATTCAAAGTTCTTTAATGATAGGGCAACAATGAAATAACAACAAAACTATAGTGAAATAAAGGCAGGTATTGAAATATTAAGTTCTAAGCAAAAATTCTCAGCTCTCCAGTTTCCCTCCAGGAAGCAGATTGGATTAGTTAGCAGTGGTTAAAAAATGCACAGAATTACGCAAAATATTGTACAAGATGAACAAAGCTTACTACTCAAAAGTGGTTTTTCAGCACCAATGACATCTGCATCCCAGCCAGTTTGAAAGTAAGGCCACTGGCTGGTGTCTTCATCATTATGCCAGTAGAATTAGACCTCACCTGTAAAGTTAGATGATTTTCCAAAGGGAAACACTTCTACCAGGCTTTGGGTAGAGATTAACACGAATTTAGGTTAGGCAATAGGTAGACTATGAAAAACAGAGAAGGAAAAAAGAAACCCCAGTAAATTCTATCATAGCAAGACAACGATATAGGGTTTAAAAATGAAGAAAGAAAAAAGGAAAGAAATGTGCCAGAAAAAGCTGTGAAGGAACTTGCTAGTGGGACTTGACAAGGCTCTTAAAAGAATATTTTAACATTTCTAAATAATTTTTTGTTTTTATCATTGATTGAGTCCAATGTTGCTTAATTTTGTGTGTGAACAATCAAAGTGTACAGAACCATTTTTAATCCTTTTGATCACCAGGATCTTTCTCATGAGATTCCTTCTCTGTCCTCTGAAAGGCATTTCTCTATAAACATCTATTGAGCTGCTTTTTTCTTGAACACAACATTCAGAGGGCCACCCACGTTCACCTTTGCCATATTTTCCTTTAGTTTAGAGAGCACACTTCCTGGAATATTTTTTTCCCTACTCAGATGGCAGGCAGTGCTGTGACATGCCTTTACTTACAACTTACTACTTTGCAAGTGAGCAAAGAATTTGTGAGCAAGAAATAGCACTAACTTGGGGTGGGGGCCGGTGTTGCTTGTTGTCAGTGAGAGAGTGGCAACTACACGGAGAAAGGAGCTGTGGAATAGGCTGATAATTAATGTGAAAACTTCCCCCCGGAATCAGCTATGGCAACGGTAACCTGACTGTCAATTCCAGTCCAGGAATTCCAACTGCTATTTCAGTTGTTATGGAAACTGATCACACTGTTTCCTAAGGAATCCATTATTCCAACAAATATTTGTAGTTCTTGTCATTATGGGGTATCTAAGTGATCAATGTGGACACCTGGGATGAAGGCACACAGGGGAGAAAGGCTTGTGATTAGAAGAGATTTTTCAGGGAGCTAGAACTTAACCCTTAGCCTGAGGCATGATTAGTTGGGGAGAAGACATTTCAGGTAAAGAGAAATGGCAAAAGTGAGGAAAGGATTAGCAAAAGTTATGCAGATGGAGCTGGAGCTGGAGCTGGAGCTGAAGACTCATGTGGGGGAAATTGGGAAATGAGAAAGACACAGTGAGGTCATAGAGAGGGAGCTAGAAGGCCAGTCCTGGGAGCGTGAACATTTTTGTGGGCAAAAGGGAAGTAGGATACTTTAAGTGTTCTAAAAAAGTTAATTTTATTTTAGGATTAACAGGATATTAACCAAGATTTTAGTTAAAACTATACCTCACTTATCTTGGTAGGTAATAGAAAGACAATAATTGGAAATGTGGCAAAATTCATTCATTTTCTCATAGACAAAATACACTTGTTTCACTGAAAGCAACTGGCTCTTGTACATTAAAATTCACCAAAACAGGGCCTCCCTGGTGGTACAAGGGGTTAAGTGGCAGCACAATGAAGTAATCCACAGCCACTGCAGCACGAGTTTGATCCCTGGCCAGGGAGCTACCCACATGGCACAGCAGACCTCTTCCCGTCTCTCCTGCTGCTCCCCTCAGCAGTGTATTTCAGTTAGTCTGCCTGTTCTGTTCCCCACTCTATCTCTGTGAATCCTCTCACCCCCTGCACCTCTGGCCTGTACCCCAATATTCTTGTATGAATAAATAAATCTTTAAAAAAAATTCACCAAAACAGGTATGGGTTTGCCTATCATATCCCAAGTATTTTTACAACCCTCAAAATGATCTACAACAACATGGTTCCAAGACACCATTCACCATTTGTCAAGGCAGTTGAGCTAAAAGCTTACTTATTTAAGTAGAGGCCAGTAATGTATGAGGAAAAAATTTTTTTCAGAGCAGCAGTTATCAGGGTTGAGATTTCTGGGCGGGGGAGGGGGGCTCAAAATTTGTCTGATGCCATAGATTTTATATTGCACTATTTGACTTTCTGAAGTCCACCTAGTTATAAGGGAGCCAAGGTTGTTAGTTATACCTGGATAGATAGAAATACATTTTCAAAAATAACAGGTAAATCTGAAATGATATTGCTAGAGACAGTAACAACAAGTACAAACCATGCTGTAGTATTATTAGAACCATTACTACTATTTGGGAAACCACATTATAACAAATACAGATTTATATGTGATAATATAGGCTCATTACTTGGATTCCTGAACATCAAGTTTAAAGTCTCTCTCCTGCTCCTAATTTGGCTCCTGGGATAAAAACTGGTCAGAAAGTATAATTTATTGTGTATAGACTAGATGCCAAGGAAATTGATTGAAGTTTTAAGTGTACAAGGGAATTTCCATTGAATTTATATTGATGAGTTTCTCTTCAGAAAGAAACAGAAATAATGTGCTTTTACTTTTTTAAGAGAAGGCAAAATAAATGGGTCAAGGGTCCATTCTTAGTGTGGCCACGGTCAACTAGAGGCAAAATGGTCAGAAATAGAACTCAGGTTGGGTCCCAGATGTTTACTTAAGATACACTGTTCTTCTGGATTAGAATTCTCCTGTCAAATCCCACTAATCCCTTCACTACCTCATCTCTTTTAGTTCCCTGCTTCAGTGTCACCTCCACAGGGAAGCTTTCCTGGATCAGTGTGCAATCAATCACTTCTATCCCCAACACTCCAGTCAGGTTGCTCTAAAGCAATCTATCACTAAAGCAATCAATCACTTCTATCCCCAACACTCCAGTCAGGTTGCTCTCTGTTCCACCTCATTCTTTCCATTCTAATAATTTTCTAAGTGCGATAATAATTTCTAAGTGCGATAATAATCTTCCTTTCACGTAAGAGGGAAGCTCTGTGGTCCCTGAATGTTGCCCAGCATTGCCCCAATATTTAGGAAATATTTGGTAGATGACAGATGTGCAAGATAGTCCAGTGACAACCAACACAGTGGAGTGGCAGAGTGGAGAAGGTTCTAGAATGAGAAGCTACAACTGTCGGCTCACGACCACCTATTGGTTGAATGACCTTGATCAAACCTCTTAAATTTTCTGGGAGTCAGTTTCCACATCGCATAATGAGAGAAATTTACTGAGAGATTTCCAAGAAAGCATTTTGACTTTAGGGTGCAAGATTTTAAGAGAGGCATGGACCATCTCATTCTTTCTAAGTATAAATATTTTATGAAATATTTATACTTATGTATAAATTGTACAAATATGTATGAAAAATGTACAAATATGTATATTAACTTTTCTATAGATTTGAATAATTAGAAGGAAAAGTACTAAGTTTTGGGAGGTACTCTATTTCACATAATTTGAACTGCTGTGCAACTAGTTTCATTTATTTTCTTGAGAAAAACTGGAAATCTGGATCTTGCACTCATTAGCTATGTGACCTTGGACAAGTTCCTTAACCTTCTGAGTCTTGGTTTTCTCATCATTGTGATAGATCAGGAACACATCACCAATCTAAAGGACAGTGTAAGGATTAAATGAAATAGCCTGGAACACATTAAGTGCACAGAAAATGTTGGTTAACTCCAAATGAATTTTATCGCACACTTCATTTACCAAGGAGATTCATTGTGGGCAAAACCCAAATGAGATTGTTTTTACTATTAGCTGCAGGAATGCAGGGTATGGTTATTGAGATATATTTAAATATGTAGTCACTGACATTTAATTTAGGTAAGAAAGGGTCATTGTTCAAACAGAAAAGGTGTGTATTTGATGTTAACATATGGATTTGGGATCTCATTTACCATTGGGATCATGATGTGTTTACTATTATAAAGCTAAGCTCAAAGGTTTGACATTTCTTGAAGTCCAACTTTGTTCATACTGAAAAGATACAAATCAAAGGCAATATAAAACTGTATAGAAAATTTGAGGGCTGTTACTTACCAATCATGAAAATAATTTTACACTTCCTCAAATCCTCCATGAAACCTTTAAGATAAGAACAATTTCAGTTATAATGGAACCCTGATTTTACTCATGTTATAGAAAACCAAATCATTTAGTTTTATTTGATAAGAAGCTTGATGTAGGGCCTCCCCGGTGGCGCAGCGGTTGAGCGCTGGAGCGCTGGTTCAATCCCCAGCTGCTCCACGGCCACCGCGCAGACCTCTCCTGCCACCCGCTGCTCCCCTCAGCAGTGTAATTCGGTCCTTCTGCCTGTTTTGCTCCCCACTCTGACTCTGGTGAATTCTCTCACCCTCCTGCGCTTCTGACTGTACCCAGTGCTTGTATGTATGTATGTATAAATAAATAAATAAACAAACAAAAAAAAAGAAGCTTGATGTCAAGTAAATGTATGAATGGGTCATTCAAGTTAGCAAAGTCAAGTTTTTCAAGCCCCAGGCTAGACAGACAAAATATCTGGGGCTTGAAGCATCCCTCACTGGACAGATGTAACTGAGGATAACTGATACTTTATTATTTTGTTAACCCTGTGCTAAAGAGCCTTTTCAAATGACAAGATACTCCACGTAGGCAGTGATATATATTATGATATAGGGTATTGTGATTTTTCACCTCATGAAAATTTTACAATGACATTTTCAAGTAAAGTCTTTACTTGAACATCAATGGCATTAGATGTTTTCTGTTGGAACCCTGGGTATGCATTCTAGATTCTGGCTGCTGAGGTTCCTGGAGCACCCCTTCAGAGGGAGAAGCCCAGAGAAAGGGACAGATCCTCTTAGGGGGACAGCCCTAAATTCTTTGTCTAGGTAGAGATGTTGGCTTCTTTCCTGGTTCTGGAAGCAGCTACTTTTGCCCATCCATGGGCATGACTGGATAAAATGTCAGGTGGGTGGATGCGATTACCTGGAGAGGTAGTAGATTATTTCCCATCTTATGAAAATATTGCCATTTTTACACTTAAAATGAACTGATAGCAATATGACTTCATGTTTTATGGCGATGACCATTTTTTAAAAATTCTTATATTTTATATAATTCTTATATCATTTTTCATTTTTGCACAATGTATGCATTTTGGTTATATTTTGGTTATATTCCCCATACAATACCCCCCCTTATTCTCTTATTCTGACCCTAATCCCTCCCCCACCCCCCCACCATGTGTCTCTGCTGTAGAGTTGCTTGTTGATTTTGATTTTTACTTTATTACAATTAGTCTTTTTCATGGTCCCTTATTTAGGACCATTCTTAAGTTACAAAGTTTATTTTTCAGTGGAATTGGGGTGGTTCATTAATATACACAACGCTATAGTTTTGCAGGGGTCCACTATTAGCCGAGCCAAAGCTATTGCCCTTTGAGAGAGAAGCAGGGCTTGGATGTGAAGAGCTGGGGATGGCAGGGGAAGGAGATGGGGAGAAAGAGAAAAAGAAGAGGAAGAAGAGGAAAGAAATGAATTTGGGGTTCTTTGGAAACATTTGGTTTTCAAAATGAAGTCTGACTTTTAAAATTCTTTTTGATCAAGACATCCTTTTATATTTTTGCAATTGGAATATATTCTACCTTATCCAGAATTTTGTGACAGTGACAAATACCCTGGGGCATTTACCACCTGGGACCACAAGTCATCTCATGTTCTCCAGACTTGCAGTTCACTCTTATGAAGCTGAGCAACTTTCAATCTATTTGCAATCACCATTATTATTTTTGATATGAATGCATCCAATTCTATTTTTTTACAAGTTATTTTTTAAAACAAATGATGGCATGTTCGTACAATATATCCATTACAAATTAAGTTTACAGAGTTTTTTAATGATATAGGAACATGCAAAAAATTGGAGGTAATATTTGCATATATACATTATAAAGAGTTTTCAGTGACATGAACATGCTTATGTTGTAACAGGCCCAGTGGAGATAATCGTGTATTCTTGCTTATGTAAAAACAGGTATATAAACAACACACTGGGATAAAATATATTAGAACATTAGTCATGATTACTTTTAGGTCACCAGGTTTTACCTGGCTCTTATTTTCTACCTTAAAAAAAATTTCCACAATGAATATGTATCAATTTTATAACCAGGAAAAAAGGAAACTTATTTGCCAATCAATCAATCTCTATCTGGTTGGGACTGAGTTGGTTATTTGCACTTGGCTTATATTTATGTGCCTTTCCCCATGAATCATCACAATGTCACTTGGTGGAGGATTTTCACATGCTGGTATTGCCATTATCATCAAATGACACTTTATCTACCACCTCACGCTCATGGCTCAGTGCAAGATTAGAGTTAAGCTTATTTAGAAAGCCCAAATCACTTTCTTGTATGTGCCCACAGTCAACAAAAACATATTTCTATGGACCACAATTATAACAACATTAATTATGGAGTGGAAATATAGAAGTTATTTTACTTAGAAATTATGAACTGTATCTTATTTGTACAATCTCAAATTCAGAAAATTATACCTTTTTTCTCTTACATGAATAGCTAATTATGGGAGGAATTTTTCAGTTTTTGCAAGACTTTTAACTGCCAAAGTGATAAAGCAGTATAATGTGGATATTTCTTAGGTTGCATCCCAATGGTACACTGCACAATAGTAACTACTATGCAGGAAAAGTTTGCAAATTTGAAAAATGTCAGACCAAAGTTAACCAGCTGTCTTACTGCAGGACTTGTGGGAGCCTTGAAGTGACTCTTCCAGAAAGTAATAAGTATTGTTTCCCAAACATATTTTACCAGAACTCCCTCTTTTCACGGAACATGTTAATAGTCATGTTCTCTAGGCAGTTAAGAGATGCATCTCTTGGTGAGGTTCCCCTTTGGTTCTCTACATGGACCAGGAGGGGGAGGTGCAAAGCATTCCCATCTTCACCTTGTTCCTTGGTTAAGGGAAGTACATGCAGTTGGTATCTCAGTATTTCATAGTTGATGTGTAACAAAAAAGACACACTCAAAGTTACTAAAACGACAACAGTGGCTTGATCAGTGAAGGAAACTCACCTCCCATGGTGTCCTCTCCAAAGACATTTAACTGGTCATCACCCTGTTTAAAAAAATAAGCAATATTAAGTGATATTATTTTGCCAACAACTTAACATCCCAACAACTCGATGAAGGGGAAACTATTATTATCCACTTTTTTACAGATGAAGAGTCAGTGAGTTTGAGAAGTAAAGTTGCCTGAAATTACCCACATTTAAAACTGGGGCTTTTTGTCCCCAGAGTTCATGCTTTTCTTACTGGTACAAAATCCTACCTCATTTGCTTGGTGCAAACCTACCTACCTGTGGACAAAAAAGCTGACTTCAGGAAAACAAAGCCTTTCAGTACCCAAAGGTCACAGGTAGGTGCAGTCACCACTGTTTTAAGTAACTCCATAATTAAAATGGTAAGTGGCAAACTTCTGTAAATATTTTCATCATTTTGAGTCATGTGGTTGCTCTTTCAATGGTTTAGCCACTGGCCATAAATTGCCAATCCATGAACTGAAGTATGAAATAGTAAGAGAAGCTAGAATGACCAACTTTGATTGAGTTTTTCTTTTCTTTTTTAATCAAACAGCTGCTTAATTTTCTTTACATAATAAATCACAGTGGTTGGGAGAAAATCCAGAAAGAAAATTTATAGGAAGGCTGTGAATGAGAATTCCCACTCTCAGTTATGTTTCCATCCACCCCATTTTCCTACTCCTTCTAGGTTAACACACAGAAGTTTCTATTGTATTGTTCCAGATATACAAAAACTGACTTCCAGATGCACTTGAAAATATCTTTAATAATTGGATTTACTTGAATATAAATATATAATCTCTTTATCACCATTTGGTATGCTGAAAGCATATTTACATGTGTTTACAAGATACACACTATTCTATAATAATACTGTTCTACCCATACTTTCTCACTTATTAATAGATCCTGGAGAACTTGGTTGTACAGTTTCTTATTGTATGAAAGTTACCATAGTTGCTTCAACTAGTCCTTTATTGATGGACCACTGAGTTGTTTCCAATCTTTAACTATTTTTTAAAAGTAGAACATTGACCAAACTCTCTAAATGCTGTTTTATATATATATATATATATATATATATATATATATATATATATATATGGAGGATAAATTCCCCCAGAAGGGACTGTAAAATCAGAGTAAATGTATTTACAGTTTTGATAGATTTGGCCAAAATGCTATTCATAGATGTTGTGCCAATTTGCAGGGATAGCCTCTGGCTCACTCTCCACTCACACTTCTTGCCTCTGATTCACTTGGATGCAGAAGTCAGTTAGATGAGGTCGTCTGGTTACATTAATGCTCTCTTGATGCAAACTGTCATGAAAGCACTTTGAAAACAGAGTCTTGACATTCTTTTTAGAACACATGCCTTCAGGGCAATTTTACTGCGTTTTTTTTTTTTTTTAGATTTGCTTGTGTATCTAGAGCATTCCAGGTGAGAGAAGAGTCCTTAATGGAATGGTCATTCAGGGACACATTAACATTGGTTAACTCCCTTCCATGAACAGCAAAAACATAACGATACCTCAGTGAGCCTTCTCACTATTTCCCTTGTGGAAATCATTGCATTCTGGAGCAGGGAAGATAGAGGGTCATCTAATCCCACCCTACCAGCTTCCCCTCCCATTTTATAGACGAGGAAACTGATGGCTGGAGAGGTCATGTGAGGGACCCATGTCCTTACTGAGGTCAGGGTTGTGATGAGAGTCCTTCTCCTATCATGTAGCGTGGCTCCTGGAGATCTAGTCTCATCAGCTCAGGTACCATAGTGGGTGCCATTAGTGGCAGTGGATGCTGCCACCTCCTTGGCCTGTGTAGCCTTCCCCCAGCCGCTGCCAAGGGTTCACAGTCTGGACCCTCCTTCAAGGGGGGACAACACTGGTGTTGAGTTCCAGAAGTCCCCTCAAGATCAGGTTGAAGTCAGTATCCTCATCTTTTTCCCTTACTCTATGCTGCATCACCTAAGAGCTCTCCCTAATAACATGCTTGCAAAGGATTCCATTTCAGGGAAGCCCTTCTGAGCCAGGGACCTATTTGTAAATGTTTGCTAAGAAGCAGCTACATAGCAAGAGGTCCAATAGTGTTTGCTAGAAAAAGACTGTCCCATCAAATAGCTTCTTTCCTGTCAACAAGTAATTTTTTTTAAAGATTTATTTATTCATGTATATAAGAACTGGGGTACAGGCTAGATGTGCGGGAGGGCAAGAGGATTCACCAGAGACAGAGCGCGGTACAGAACAGGCTGACTGACCAAAATACAATGCTGAGGGGAGCAGCAGCGAGACAGGAGAGGTCTGGTGCGCCATGTGGGTATATCACCGCCTGGCCGGGATAGAACCCGCGCTGCAGAGGCTGTGGACAGCCTCACAACGCTGCGCTCAACCGCCTGTGCCACCAGGGGAGGCCCCAACTGGTAATGTTAAGAGGAAACCATTGAGTCCTCTCCCTTGTTTTTCATGATTGTTGGATGATCAGATTTAGACCCACCTTGCGGGCTAAACTATATAGATCTTCCTTGTATGTGGCTATCATGTTTTGGGAGTTTTATCATGGTAATCTGAATTTGCAAAATAGTGTATCATGTAAGTAAAGAACCTGTCTGACCTCTGGCTTCTTGAGTCTGACTGTTTTTGTCCATAACTCTTATAGCTTTCCATTATGTGTACCCAAATACTTCAATTAGTACTGGTGTTATTTCCATTGATGCACTGATGGTGAATAGGTTTCTGGGGCATAGATGTAACTGTCATCACCTCTCCTGCAAGAATTCAGTTCCCTCATTCACTATGTGAAAGCCCAGGTGAATGGGATGTTTGATTGAAGGGTGTTGCTTGCCACGAATGCTCAATGAACCCACAGTTTCAATAGGAATCTCTTGTAAGTAAAGTTTATCTGGCATTTGAAATACACACACAAAACAATGAATGAAAGGCTAATACTTCTGGTTTTGGTAAAAAAAAAAAAGATGCTGTATAACCCCTAGAGGCCCTACATCTTCCTTTTCAAATGCTAGATGAAAAGCACTAATTTCAGAATATCAATTATAAAAGGAGCAAAGTGTTATATAGGCTTACTGGAGAAATCTCTGAGGTGTTTATACCTAGTCACGTTGTACCTGATCTCCTGTGAAGCGTATTTTGAGAAAACCAAGAACTACTAAGTTCCACCCTTAGGGCTGAGAGCTTCGTGTTTTACGACTTTTTACTGCGATGTCACTCCATCCAGCCAACCCTTTGTCACCTGCAAGTCAGAATTGTGGGACAGGGCTTCATGACTTTTCAGTATTAAACTAGGGCATGGGATGCACAAAGCAGGATACTAAATCTTAAGAAACTAACAAGAGGGCCTCCCCGGTGGCGCAGCGGTTGAGCGCTGGGTTGCGAAGCTACCCGCGGCCTCTACGGCGCCGGTTCGATCCCCGGCTGCTCCCCGGCCACCAGAGGAGGGTCCCACATGGCGCGTAGACCTCTCCTGCCGCCCGCTGCTCCCCTCAGCAGTGTACTTCGGTCCTTCTGCCTGCTCTGCTCCCTGCTCTGGCTCTGGTGAATTCTCTCACCCTCCCGCGCTTCTGACTGTACCCAGTGCATGTATAAACCAAACAAACAAACAAATAATAAATAAATAAATAAGACATGCCTCTAGAAAATTAAAAAAAAAAAAAAAGAAACTAACAAGAAGCGGTATAAAGTACAGGCACAGATTTTATGGAAGTGGCATTTATGACTTGTGAGTACTGAGCCAATAAACAGCAGCAAAACTAGCAAAAGATCATATTCAGGTTGTCACATTTTTTTGTGCCATTTATCTGACAATATATAGGTAACTGGTGGGGAGGAATCTACAATCCTGTAGGGACACAATCAGAATCTCAAGATAGAATTAATGGCTTTATAAGGAAATTGCACATTTGGACTAGTCTCCTGATCGAGTGATAAAGAGAGCAAAAGCAGGCCTCCCCTGGTGGTGCAGCGTTTGAGCGCTGGGCTGCAAAGCTGCCTACCGCCTCTGCAGTGCTGGTTCCACCCTGGCCACTGGCTAGGGTCCCACATGGAGTGACAGATCTCTCCTGCCGCACCTGCTGCTCCCCCCAGCATTGTGTTTCATTGGTCTGCCTGTTCTGTTCCCCGCTCTGGCTCTGGCGAATATTCTCACCCTCCCGTGCTTCTGACTGTACCTAATGCATGTATAAACAAACAAACAAACAAACAAACAAATAAATGAATAAATCTTTAAAAAAAAAGAGAGAGAGAGCAAAAGCAATCCATGTTCAACTTGATTTCCCTGTGTGGATGTGAAATGTGTAGGAAAGAAATGTGTTTTACAAGGCTGGATTCTGACAGTATTACTAGTAAGGAGACAGCTAAGTGTGTGTGTGTGTGTGTGTGTGTGTTTCCCTTTGTGAGCAGAGCTCCGAGTGTTACCACCTGAAGATCAGGCTATCCTGTCACCCCCAATTCCTTGACTTATTGAATTGTGAGTGGGAGAGATCAAAATAGAGCAGCGTAGTTTCAGAGATGGGCTTCCTAATTGTAAGCAATTATGTTCTGCCTCCTGCTTGAGGGCAGTGCAGCATCTCCTCCTGGGTGCAGGACCAGTTGCACGTGGCTCTGTCACAAGCAGAACTCAGCAGTATACAAAGCTGACATTTCAACTGTGTTTATATTTGTAGCAGTGTTTCGGCGGTGTGACCTCACTGGGGGCTTGCTGTGACTGTGCAATGGCATGACTGAGGTTCTGTGGTGCCACTGGATGGGGCTGTGACTTAGCTTCCATTGCTGCTCAGAGTGGGGGGCTGGGGACCGATCTCAGTGCTCTGATGCCAGCCTGTGCTGCTTGTTCTCTTGCTTGTGGGAGGTGGGGTGGCCGGGGACTCCTAGTGCCCTTCTTAAGGAGACACTATGTAATTAATTTTTTGTCCCAGGGAGCATAAAAGCAAAGCTCTTCTGGGAAGGAGGACGAAGTAGTTGGTCATTTTGGGAGGTGTCATCCTAGTTCTGAGTAATCTGTTTGTATTAAACAATATGTGTGT